AATAATAATCGAACTGTAGAATGAGAATTTGTAATTTTGTTGAGAAACATTTTTTTTTTTCAAAATTCTTTCGTTTAATTGGTTTATTTAAGTTCCATTGTGGGAATGAAAATTACGCAAAAATAGAGATACAATTATTATTGAAAAAAGGTTTTTTTACAATTCTTTCGTTTAATTAATAATGGTTTGTTTAAGTTCCATTGTGGAGATGAAAATTGCGCAAAAATATAAAAGGGATACAATATTGATACATGGGGCGAAGGTAAAGATTATAAATTGTTGGTATGGATTGAATCGAAGGGAGATTTTGATCGACTTCTATCGTGGGATGCTATGAAGAGGGTTGAAAATAATGAGATTAAATCCGGAAGGTCAGATATCGATGCGGATGGGATTAAAGTGGAATTCCACTTATTGGTCGGTTAATTATATTCTTTCGCTAAATCCATAAATCGAGCGTAAAATCAGAAATACAAAATGCAAAATAAAGTAAGATACGTTTGATTAAAATTGAAGAGGAAAAAATTTTTTCCTTAACGCCAATGTTATTCGAGTTTTCAGAGGAAGAGAATAATCTGTTTGATTATTTATATATATTGGAATAAATATAAATTTTGACGTATATATTTTATGGCATACTGAATTTTGCGATATCATCGATATTTCCTGTTGCTATTATTGTTGGATACGCTCGCTCGGGTAAAAACTTCTCTTTCAATTTTATACGAGGAAATAGGAAAAAAGCGAGAGAGAGAGAGAGAGAGAGAGAGAAAGACAGATACGTCGAAGTTCCTCTCTTTAAAATATCGAATGCACAGCGATTAGAACCGGCCTTCGAGCTCGATTTGGCGCGAATTAATCTCTCTGTACTTCTCTCTGGCTGCGAATTGCTCGATTTGCAAAAAAAAAAGAAAAAGAGAAATTTAATCTCGCTCGTTCAGCTGACGTATTATTCAGATTTTTGAACTTCGAGGCTTGAACTTAACACGTGTCATCAAATCTAATATGAGAATTATAATTTTTCGCTTGCCAAAATTTTGCCCCAATTTAAAAGAAGTTTTAAGAAGAGCTGTACGAAAAGATGTAGGAAAAATTGCGTTACGTGTATCGTTTTGAATTCTATTCTATTCCGGCTAATGACGTTTTCTTTTTCGCATTTATGATAACAAAAGATGTGTACGAATAATGCACATTGTTCGTGCGCATACTGAAAATAATATAGAGTGGATCCAGTTAAGTGTCGAATAAATATTTCAAAAAGGAGTAAAAGCAATACAGGTATAGCGCTATAAAAAGGAACATTTTTTTCTTTTCGGAAGAGCGAAGAAAAAAAAAAAATTTATCTTCGTGAAAATCGATTGAAAAATATAACGTGTGAATTTTCAATATAAATGATCGCAGAAATTGATCAATAAATTAGTTACGCCATTCGAAATCTAAAATTATATATCGTTCAATTGTCGTCAAGGTGGTTATGGATTAGCAAAATAATAGTTAAAAATCGTTAACATTCATCGCAGAGCACACAGTTCACGAACAGTTATCGTTATGCACGACAATGTAATACGATAATGCAAAAGCACTTCTGAATCCGACGTGATCTCTCGAGACCCGATCTCATTCAAAGATTAGGATTTTAAACGAGGTCGAGCCACTTTTCAACCAATGGCGGACAAGTGAATTTCAAACGAGAGTCGATCGTTTCGTCGATGAATACGTATTTCCATGATAAAAAATCTGACGAGATAAGATAGAATTGTACACGATGGACATTGTAATCCAAGAACCTCTTTTATCTGCCTCCGTTACAGATTTCCCCTCAAATTATCTGTATCTTTAAGTCGAACGAACGAAATTTGACGAACACGCCTTCACGCCTTTCAAAAAATATATCCTTTTAGTATTTTCCTACTTTATCGACGGGGTTACGAAGGATAAGAAATAACGCATAACCTCAACTCGACAATTAGATCGCAATATAACTGATCTACATCGTTTTATAATATTACAGATGAGAGTGTTTATCTAAACAAAAGCTCGTGGTATTTCTATTAAAATACAAATACAGTATATAAAAAGTTTGAATAATACGAAGCATAACATACATATATACATCCGTGCAGTTGTTCCGAAGAAATGTGTGTGCATCGAATACGATCGTTGACGTGGAAGATATTTGATATATAAGGTCAGAGTCATCGGAGTGTAAACGGTTGAAATATGCGGTTAAAAAAAAAAAAAAAAGAGGAGAAAAGAGCGAGATCATCAAGATATATTTTATTCGTTGATAAAAATTTCATAGTTGAACGAATGAAATGAGTGAGAATGGGAAGAAAAAATAATTAATCTATCCAATAATAACATCATTAAATGGAATATCCATTTTGAAAATTGGGGAATAATAATCGATTCAAATTGAAATTAAAATTAATTCGATTTGTTTGATACGTCCATCGTATGAATTATTCACAGATAATTCGAGATTTATTTAGCTCGAATTATCGCGGATCAATTTCACGGATCGATCGATCAACACCTACATAAATCAAATCGGCATAAAGCGTGAATAAATCGTGTTCGATCCAAAAAAAACTATTGGAGAAATCTCGTCTCATCGAACTTTTCCATCAAACGATCTGCTCGAATGGACTAAATCGTTCCACCGTACCGTCACTCGTCCAATTTATATCTTTTTCTTTTGTTTCTGGCCTTCTAAAGTTTAACGATGCCGTTTCCTTTCTTTACACGAATTTTGCCAATTGCAATTTTGTTGAATCGCACGTGCACTTAACCAATCTGATATAGAAACTTGATTTTCTATCGATTGAAAATTAAGAAAAATTAATGATCAAAAAAATACTGAATACAATCACTATAGTAACTTGTTCTCTCCGTCCAACTATAGCGGGAAACCTAACCTAGATCTCCCGATCGTCCAACCGTATCTCCATACAATAGAATGTCGCCTAAATGGATCGTGAAATAATTTCCAATTACTTTAATATTAACTATTTAGATAGTCCATTGAATTGAAAATGTCGATAAAAAGAATAAATTGCGCTGTTTGAATAATTTCTTCTCTTCTTGCATAAACATTCTCAACCTTCTCTTTTTTTAAATAAACGTCAATCAATACTAGAACATCGTAGTATCATCTTTCATCGGATTTCAAACAATTATATGGGTCGTAATTTAATAGTTACGAGTAAAATTACTAGAATAATTTGTTAAACATAACAATAAATCGTAACTATAATAAAATAGCTACGAAAAAGAAAATCATTCGAGCATTTTAACTCTTTGCATTCCAATGATCTCAGACACTCGGTTTGAACAGCGACAATATTTATTTATGTTCGATTTTTTTAAAATATCGCTTTAACACATTCCTAAGCTTTTTACATATAATTTTACAAAGCGTGGAATATCGAATGGTTAGATTTTTTTATCTCAAATTAAACCGTGATCGAACAACATTTTCGGCGAGTTTGACAATAGAAATATTACTTTCAAAAATATTTTTGAGTTTTGTAAGCATAAAAATAAGGTAAAATGAAATTAGTTCGAGCGAAGATGTGATTTTCCATCATTGAATAACGAAATTATTTCTATTCGTTAAGAAATTGACGACAGAGAGAAGGAAAAACTGAAAACAGAACGTAAGTAAGTAATAGAAG